CACAAAGTGGGGGCATGTCATGTGGGCAGACTTGGGGCAGGTCATGTGGATTGACTTGGGGGTGGCCCAGATGGTGGGCTGTGTCAGGGGCCCTAAAATTTCTGGTGGCAGCCCTGCCTGGCCAAACTCTATGGTCACTCCTTCCATAGGGAAGCTTCATCAGCCTCTAGTACAAACACCCCGGTTCACATCATCAAGAGACTGGGTCGATGGAAATCCTCCATATACCATACGTACATACCACGACCAGAAAGAGAGCTTCGCCAAGCCTTCAGGAATTTGGTTATGTACTAAATGCAATAAAGTGTGTTTTTTCCTTGAACTTCTCTTTGCCCTCTTTTATTTACAGGCCCACTCGTACGTTGGTTTTCAGCACACCACAACCAACTTTCATCTCAGACATTACGTATTAAATTCCGAGCACAAGTGGAAAGGCCATTAGGCCTGAATTTGTGGGAGGAGTAATTTCCCTACTTAAACTCCCAGCCCCTACTCACCTCTGCCGGTCAAGTTGATTGTCCCCACCCACCTTCACCCTTATAGCATTACAACTCTCCTTGGTGGGCCCTCTTTTATTTACAGGCCCACTCATACGTTGGTTTTCGGCACACCACAACCAACTTTCATCTCAGACACTATCCATTACGTATTAAATTCCGAGCACAAATATATATATAGTGATATATACATATATACTTATGTATATAGATATATATTATTTCATTCTACGTGTATTTTATTTATATATATCTGCTTCAGGGCTGATGAGACCTAAGGTCATTCTAACTGTATTGAAATACAGTTAGAATGAAATTACACAAATATCCCATTGTACAGCGCTATGGAATCTGATGGTGCCATATAAATACTAAAATAATATATATATATATATATTTTTTTTTTTTTTATTAATTTATTTTTTATTATTTTTTTCACATATTTACATATTTATTTATTTTATATTATATATAAATATATTTATAATTATATATATTTAATCAATATTATTATACATGTATTTTGATATTAATACATATATATATATATATATAATTATATATATGTATATAATTATATATATTAATATTAAAATACTGTTAGACAGTGTATGTGTATGTGTGTATATATATATATAATCTAAGTATATATAATTTTATTTTAAACAGTTTTAACCATTTTTTTTACATGTTTCATCCAGCAGGGGGACTACCTGTAATTACAGGTAGTCCCCCTGCTGGCAATGCTGTGTAAATCGACAATACTCAGCCCTCCCCCATTAATTTCCCACAGCATGGTTAATAGTTTTGTGTTGTGGAGCTGGGTGATTCCATATCGGCTTGGTGTCTGTTATCATTGTATATGTCGCCCATTTGTATTGAAACTAAGAGAAGAATAAAAGCGGATACAATGTCGCTGTTGTCCTCCTCACGAGTTTGGTTGTGTCTGAGCTAAACTGGACTGTGGTATTCTGTGCTAAATCTTTCCGTTACTTTTTAAAAGAAATATCAAAGAAAAATGCTGACGCACAGTAAATGTAATAAAAGAAAGCTTTATACTATGGTGTTTAATCCTGAGAAGTGACAGTATTACTTTAAAATATCTTTAAGTCATGTATTTGTTGTAACCCCAGGATAGTGAACACCAAATTCTATTAAACTCTTCACATTGCTTCCCTATTCAACTAACAAATATGCTAATTCTAAAACATGCAGGTGGTATATTCATCATACCTCTGACGGTCGGGGACAATTCCCTTTTTGAAAGGATTGTGCCTCAGGCCCAAATAACAAGCAGTTAAATGTTTGTTTTTTTCAGTTTCATTTCCTTCATAGCTATCATAGAATCTGCCCAAGAACTTTCTTGAACGCAGACAGCCTGCAAGCTATACATTGTAGAACCAGCGCCTACCTGCTACAAAATCGTAAAGTACCTGAAGGAGACAGACAGCAAAAATGGCATCAAATTAGAATAAGAATCTAACTCCAATTAAACGTCGTATGGGATCTTCCGCATACTGTAAAGAAGGCCAATTCTTATCGATTGATGAGGGGTATAACTACTTGAAATCTGAGAGAGATTTACATGAAGTGGGATCTGCAATGATATCAAAAATCAGCAAATTAAAGTTTGATCAATTCTTTAAGATGGGTCTGGTCTTTCCAATCACCAGGTTGAGACATGTCACCACTCAGGATTGTCTTCCTGATATTCTGTCCACAGGTTATTTCAAGGTGGATGGCAGTGAAAGTTCCAGGAGGAGCTTTCAGAGTGCTGAGGTTCTTTCTGGTGACATTGAGCAAGCTCGGCAATGGGCTTTTGATTATGTACAACACATGGTGACGGCAGAGGAAGCAGAGTGTTTCCAAGAAGAAAGGACAGTTTGCCTCCTCCCCAGCATTTGATAATTCTACCTTTCGCTATGAAAACTTCTCCTTCCCACTGTCTGGCCTGCTCGAGGCCTATAAATCCCAGCACTGCCAGAATGGAGACCCTCAGCTCAAGGTCCTGGGCACAGAGATGTACAGACAGGAGATAGCTCACATCATTGTTGTCCATAGTCCTGATACTGACCTGTACGATGACCTCCCTTATTCCCAGCACTGCCGAGTCCCTGCATATTGTCTACAGGAGAGAGGAAGATGGGGAACTGTGCTGGAAGCCAGAACCTGCTCTGATTCAGCTACTCTGACCTTAAAATGTAAATTCACTTTGAATTCTCACTGATCATGGCTGTGAAGCAACATGATATTTCAGAGAACATGATCCCAGGTTGTGCAGCCTGTTAAACACCATCTAGTTGATCTTGCATTTTATAAAGAAAAACAGACACATCAACCTAAATATTGAAAATGAAACAAGTGTAGCAACTCCCCCCGTCAGTAAGAACACCATTATAGCTCAGGTGGAAAACGTTTACATAAGAGTTAGATCACAGGAATCGAGAGATAACTTGATAACCAGGTAATTCATGGTTTAAATAGACAACAAAGCTGGTTCCAATTAAAATTGTTTAAAGTCCGCACTTTACACAACAGCCAAACTTAAAAGATGAGACCCTGGTAAACAATAAAATGCACACTTTGACGTACAAGTTTTGTGCTGAAGGCACTTAATCATAGGCAGAAACCAGACACCTTGTGATTAGTTTCTAAATAGCGGAAATCGATCATTAGATGGTTTTACATACTTAGCCATGTCATTATTCCCCTCCCCCCCAAAACAATTGGGGGATATCTGCAATAACCCTCAATACTACCCTGGAGTCAATACGGCTGGGGGGGAGAGGGGGAGGGGTGGGTGGGGTTGTGAACATAGCACCGCCACTGACTGGAGCGTCGCTGATTGACACCTTTTTAGATTTCCAGCCCCAGAGAAGCTCTGAGTGTAGATCTATTGCAGTGTGAATGAATGGCAGGATAAAGCACAGGGGGATATTTACTAACGTGACAATTCAAAGTGAATTTCGAATGTATGGCCCAAGCAGATGAACTGGAAGCATAACTAACTATTTCACTTTGAATTTTAAATTCTTTTTGTATTCACTTCAAATTCCGCTAATATATTCCGCTAATATATTCCGCTAATATATTTTTATGATTTTTAAATGCCCCTTACATTCGGATTCCATATTTCACCAAGTACCATAGGATGGTGTTGAGATATAGACTGAGATCACGGACTGAATCCTAAACATGTCAGACCTGCATGCAGTGATTCTCTAGTCTGAGACTCTCCATGGTGGGATATAGGCTTCAAGATCTGACTAAACACACACAGGCCTGTTGGAGAACTCCATAAAACACATCAAACAGCCCCCCATTTCCTGGTTAGCACGGTAGCAGTGGTTTGTTCTACCTACTCTTCTTAAAATATCACTCCATGGAACATAAACCACTTATGTGTTTATGGTACCAGCTGTGTCATCTCATAGTAACATGTCAATTTGTTACACCTTACCTGGGTATCTCCAGGAACCTGTGCCCCATCCTTTGTATTTTTTCTTCTTCATTAGGTGTAGCCAGATTGCTCTATAGAACAAAGCAGGGCTTTGCAAGATGGACCTCACTTTAAATGATGTAAATAATATCAGCCAATGACTTGACAATACATCAGCTGTGCTTGATCTAAAGAGACAATTGGCTTCTAGTGCAGGAGCAAACGATATGCATCATAGTTGGCTAGTGGAACCAATGTAAGTGGTCAAACTACACGGTTTGACATAGAGACAGAATATGACGGCAGATAAGAACCATTCGGCCCATCTAGTCTGCCCAATGTAATAAATACTTACACTTATGGTGCACTATGTTTATGGTGCTTGAAGAGTTACTTTGTAGTGCTGGTCTACGTGTGAGCTAGAGAGGTTGGGGATATGGTGCTACCAGGGCTGCCATCAGGGGGTGACAACCATGACTGTTGTCACGGGCCCGGCGGCCCTGGGGGGCCCGGACTGCTCTGGCAGTCCTGGGCCCCACTTTCTTTCTCTGCACACATAGATAGCGAATATCGCGATCTATGTATTCAGCCGCGGACCCCCTCCTCCCTGTTACCGCAGAGGGGGCCCAGCCAACACACAGCTTCTCCTCTCTTCTCTCTTCTAATAACTCTTGCGAGACCTGCGGAGCGTTGCCATGGTAACCGGGTCTCGCGAGAGTTATTAGAAGAGAGAAGAAAGGAGAAGCTGTGTGCTGCCTCGGCCCCCTCTGCGGTAACAGGGAGCCGTGGCCCCCCCCCACTGGACCACCACAGATTGAATCTCCCCCCTCCCTGAAAACAGGTAACACAACACACACACACCCACTGCATACACACACACACACACAGCATACACTAACATAACACACACTCTGCATACACTAACACAACACACACACACTCTGCATACACTAACACAACACACACTCTGCATCCGCTATACTAACACACACTCTGCATCCGCTACACACTAACACACTCTCTGCATTCACTACACATTAACACTCTGCATTCACTACACTAACACACACTCTGCATTCGCTACACACTAACACACACTCTGCATCCGCTACACACTAACACACTCTCTGCATTCACTACACATTAACACACTCTCTGCATTCACTACACATTAACACACTCTCTACATTAACTACACATTAACACACACTCTGCATTCACTACAAATGACATACACTCTGCATTAACTGTACACACAGCATCCACTACACAAACACCCTGTATTCACAGTACACACACTACATCCACCACAAATTGAAACACTCTACATTCACTATACACAGACAATGCGTCTAATACACACACTACATCCACTACATACACTGCATCCACTAAACACATTTCATCTAGTACATACAAACACTACATCCACTGCACAAACACACACTACATCACTGTACACACACTATATCCACTACTCAAACACACTCTGCGTTCACTATACACACTGCATCCGCTACACAAACACACACTCTGCATTCACTGCACAAACAGCATCTAATACACACAAACACTACATCCATTACACACATTCTAATTCACTTCCACTATACACACCACATTCAGTCCTGCATCATTGTCAGCGGACCAGGTAGGGTGTGGGCAGGCCCAGGAGGGAGGGAGGGAGTGGGGGAGGGGGGCCCAGACCTTGTGCTTTGTCAGGGGCCCCGAAATTTCTGATGGCGGCCCTGGGTGCTACTCTATGCTCCCATTCACTCCAACAAACATTGCATGGCCAAAACTGACTCCACTTCCTGGTAAGACCAGCAGAGGAAACAGAAGTTAGAATATAAAGTGTGTGTGTTTACTCATTGTACATGTGTGTGTTTACCTGTCTGTACATGTTAGACGTGTCTCATCTATGTATTCTTCTTCCTACTGTTTTATCTATTGGAGAAAATTTCTCATGTTGTTTCTTGTGGACAAAATTCTGTTAAAATAATGAAATTTCAACTGGATTTACAATTTCAACTGGATATTTGCAATTCAGTCAATGCGACCAAATGAGCACCATCCAGCCAGATCCATTTGGCGTCTATATTTATACATATAAAACAGGGATTTGCATTTTTACCAAAAACTGAATGTTGACCTTGTCTTGCTTAAAAAACTGACAAATGTGGCTAAAAAATAAAAAGGCAAGTGCATTTTCAAAATCCATAGAATGTGACGGCCGATAAGAACCATTCTGCCCATCTAGTCTGCCCAATATATGCCTACTGGCAGTGCTAACAAATCCATGCCAAAGTAAGGTTAAGTATGTGGTGACTGGCCAAGGCTTGCTAGCCAGCCATCTTAAAAATAAAGTAAAAAAAATAATACAAGGTAAACACAGTATAGTGGTGTGGGAGTCTCATTATTACACTTATTTTGTATTATACTGAACACATTATATGTTATGGGAAGGGTTCTCATGTTTCTTAACAATATTGGCATTTATTTATTGCCTAGATTAGATTGATGATGTTACACTGGGTCTCATTTGGGACTGTTTGCTGATAGACATCAGCAACATAAATATCCACAACCATGTATGGAGTGGTGTAAGCTTCCCTTGAGGAAGGCACCTGATCATGTGGAAACGTAAGGGGTTTTCAGTGACTCATGGTTTCCCCTCTTAGGCAATTGTTTTGTAAGTGTGGATATTGCAAGATTATTTTTTAGCCTTAACATTCTTTATTTTCCTTTTATATGTCAGATAGGTTTGATATATGTATTGTTATATTGATTTGTAAATAGAGCTACATTTATATTAGCAGTGTTGTTGGTGTGCATCTTGCTTTTTTGATAAGAACAAGATCCTATTAACATATATGCCATACTAAACATTCACAGGTATACAGCTGGAAATATTACCTGGCCAAGAGATATATAGAAATAGTCAAAGAATTAAAGGATAACCCAGCATGAAGACAATGAATTGATTCCCGTACAGTTTGTGTCTGCTTCTTCGTTGATTAATACTGTTTTGGAATCCCTGGCTGGCTCTCTCTGATATTCCCCCCTCCTCTCTCTGATATTCCCCCCTCAGTAATGAATGGGTGTGTTTAAACTGTATAACTGTAATGGATTGGCTGTTAAGTTTGTATCTTCAGTGCCCAACAAGGTCCACATGGGTGGTAACCTTGTGGGAAAATGTGTATAAAAGAAATGCTTGTATGGTCATTAAATCAGTTCTGCTTAACCCTCAATACGTAGCCTCATCTCATTATTGAAGGGTACCTGCTTCCAGCTTAATCACTAGCTCTTGTAAGTGCTCTACGACTCTCTCTCTACAAGGATCCAGCGGATGGGATATCGGGAATACTCTGCAGCACAACCTCTCGCTGGGAAAAGGACGTCTCCAACGGCATACACCCCTCCTTTAACCAGGGTGGCCGTTACACCCCCCCCCCTCTCTCTGATATTCCCCCATCTCTCTTACTCTGATTGTAGAATATGTACACTTATTATAAACTATTTCTAGTAACTTTATAATAGAAATGTTATAGTAAGATTATATTAAGATAGTTAGACTGATGATGCTCAGCCAACATAGAAGCTATTTTCCAGAGGTTTCACTCTCCATGCTAACACCAGTTTGAGGCCTAGCATTCCTGTATGTTTAGTAACCCGTGTCTAGAGCTAGTATTGTTAATGTGCACCCAACTTATATTGAATAGTCATGTCAGCACAGACAGATATTTTAACATTGTCTAATTCTGTTTATTGAGTTTGAACTGCTAGAATGTACATGTTTCCCTGCTATCTCGTATCCACTAGCTCAGTATTTATTCATTATGTTGACTGGCTAGCTTCACCCAACGCTGATGCTATTTGCAGAGGTGTACAAGTTTCTGTTCTGTATTGACGTGTATCTAGCTTTTTTTCCCTTATATTATTTTATATATAAAATGAGGCTGTCCCACTCCGGAGCTTACCCCAGCTTGCATATCGATTGTACTTTATGCCCACAATCATACCATGTGTACTATTGCTGTAACTCCGATCATCCATGTGATCCAGAGGAGTATAGGAAATAAAAGGCGTTAAATCATCTCTGATATTGAGTGATTTGACCCATCATCAGAGGACCAAAACCTAAAAATTCATCATTCCAGTTTCTGTTTCATTTCCTGAAAGACACATTTCCACTCTTACCTGCAGGGTAAAATAGAAACTATAAATTGCAAGCACAGCACCTTTCTACGAAAGTATCAGAAATCAGATCCAGGAATTAGGTAGACAGCAGCTATGGCAGTGAGCATGAATATGGATCTAATTCCAATGATAGGATTCTATGGTGCGGATGGCTACTTTAAAACAGGACAAATCTTAACAATAGGTGAGGTGAAAATGTGCTTGGAATCCAGGAGAGATTTACATGATTCAGGGGACAGAATGAAACGTTACATTCAGAAGACACAATATAATGAATTCTTTAAAATTAAAATAGATTTTCCTATCTCTAAACTGCACCATGTAACTGATGAATTTGGTCTGCGTGTTATAATGCATAGCGGATATTTCACTGGGAGTGAAAGTGAGCAAATCGAACTACTGCAACACCTCTCCTTTTGGAGTGTTGAGATACATCCAGAAAACAGTGAGAGAGCTCGTCAACAGGCCTACGAGACTGTGAAACAAATGGTGACGGCACAGGAAGCAGAGTATTTCCAAGAACAAATAAAAGGACAGTATGCCAACTCTCCAGCATTCGATAATACGACTTCTCGTTATGGAAATTTTGTGTTCTCCTTCCCACTGTCTGACCTGCTGGAGGCCTATAAATCCCAGCACTGCCAGAATGTAGATCCTCAGCTCAGGGTGCTGGGCACACAGATGTACAGACAAGAGATAGCTCACATCATTGTTGTCCACAGTCCTGGTATTGACCTGTACGATGACTTCCCAATGGTGCAAACTGTTCCCAGCACTGACAAATCCCTGCCTTTTGTCTACTGGAGAAAGGAAGATGGGGAACTTTGCTGGAGGCCAGAATCTACCTCCACTAAACTCCAAGTGGAAATCAGAAATAATACTACAACTCCATATAACTCTGTACAGTATTGTGTTTGGAACCACCTGATATTCGCTTTCCACCTGCCTGAAGGACAGCACCTGGTTATCCCTAGAGAGAAGCTCCAGGACAATCTGGCTGCTTGTGGTTCTGGAGAGGTCATTCTAAACTCCAGCCTAAAGTTCGAAGTAGCCGAGGAAATAGTCAGAGACATTAAAGGATAATCCAGCAAGAAGACCGTTTTGGAATGCCTGTCTCTCTCTCTCTCTGATATTCCCCCCTCTCTCTCCTCCTCTCTCTCTCTCTCTCTCTCTCTGATATTCCTCTCTCTCTTTCTCTCTCTCTCTGATATTCCCTCTCTCTCACTCTGATATTCCCTGTCTCTCTCTCACTGATATTCCTCTTTCTCCTTCTCTCACTCTGATATTCCCCCCTCTCTCTCTCTGATATTCCTCTTTCTCTTTCTCTCACTCTGATATTCCCTGTCTGTCTCTCTCTCTCTCCGATATTCCTCTTTCTCCTCTCTCTGATATTCCCCCTCTCTCTCTCTGATATTCCTCTCTCTCTCTCTCTCTCTCTCTCTCTCTCTCTCTGATATTCCCCCTCTCTCTCTGATATCCCCCCTCTCTCTCTGTTATTCCTCTCTCTCTCTCTCTCTGATATCCCCCCCTCTCTCTGATATTCCCTGTCTCTCTATGTTATTCCTCTCTCTCTCTCTCTGATATTCCCCCTCTCTCTCTCTGATATTCCCTCTCTCTCTCTCTGATAATCCCCCTCTCTCACACTCTGATATTCCCTGTCTCTCTCTCTTTGATATTCCCCTCTCTCTGATTGTAGTAAATGTACATTTATTATATACTATTTCCTGTAACTTTATAATAGGACTGTTATAGTAAAATTGTAATAAGATTGTTATTAAATCCCTTATTCCAAGTATTAATGTCACTATTGTTTTAGTACTTGTGTCACTGTATTGATACTAATAATAATATTGCAGGTGTCGTGTTATTATGGTTTAAGTGGCAGTTAAAGTTTTCCTTCTTTATATTGTATTCAGTTATGTAAATGATGCAATGTATCACCATAACCACAACAGACTGATGTACAGGTAATGCTACCAATCTGTAAATCTCTGTTCTGTATGTTGGTGTATGAGGAAGGACTTTATATTTTTACTGTATTTAAAGAATGTGAAGTAGTTAAATATCGGTGCGGCCTAATCACAATTCGTTAACGATTTGTGTTAATTTAACAGATTTTGATTTTACCATCTCTATGGAAATGAAAGAAGGAATTCACAACAACAACCTAAAGATGATATTATAGTTTCTATTCCATTTCCTTTTGGCAATGCTTTCTCTGTCTACCTCTATCATTTATTCATGAATTTAAATTGAATCAAGTCCTGCTTGTCATATACAAATCCCTCTATGACTGATTCATTATCTCAGTCATTTCTCCATTGACAGCTTTGTACCCTAATACTGATAACGTAAGAAGTGGGGAATGGAATTCTATTTAAATCATATATAATATTCGCAGCATAGACATAGGATCCGTGCTATAAGCAGAAACGCTAAGTAATAAGATTAACTGCAGAAACTAGGAGGAACATAATACACACTTAAACATAATAATAGAACTATTACTATTTTAACGCTGCCACCACCAAGATAATTTATAAATGAGGTGCCTTGGTCCCCCAGGTAAATAAATAATAAAAACGCACCAAATATTACTTGGCACAATATATGTTAAGGCTTGGCCTGCAGTTGTGGGAGAGGCATGGTACCCCCCTACTCACCTTCCTCCGTCCCGTACGTTTTTTAGCGACACGCATGTCGCTATTTCTGGTCGTCCTTACCTGGTCCTCGTGGCTTTTTTGCCTGGCCTGCTGGTTCCCTGCTGCTCGTCTCTCCGCGGTACTCCTGGGCTCTGCTCTGGCATTTCCTGTTTCTCTTCCTGCTTGCTTGAAGTCTTGTGGTGCGGGTGGTGAGGGATTGCAGGGATGCACGTGGTCCGTCTCGTTGGTCCAGCGCCGTCACGGAAGTGTGGTGTGGGTGTTTTGGGGCTTGCCGTCCGGAGGTATTGTGTCTCGTCTGAGGGGGGTGAGGTCTGCTCTGCTCGCCTCCGCGGCCCTGCTGCGCATCTCTTTCCGGTGTTCTTGGCTGACGGCCCCCCCTTGCTGTCCGCGGCGTTGTCGCTTGTGCACTTCACTCACTGGCAGTCGGGCATCCATGCGGCCATACAATGTGCGTTTGGGTGCAGTTTGGGATGAAGGTAGGAACCTATGTATAGGTCTAACTGCTCAGGTGCGGTACACATCCATATATATTTCTATTTAGGTTAATGCACAGCAGACCCTTTACCTGTACTTGTACATGGTTAATGGGTGACTCCTTGCCCTAGATCACCTCCTAAGAACGTTTAGCTGGGTATCATTTTCATGTTTTTCATACTATGTGCTTACATGGTGACTTCCTACCACTATGTAAGTGATGCTTTAATTTATCCATAGTTTACAGTTTAGTGAATAATCCCCTTCGTGTCTCCACTGCCTTTTCCTTTAACACTTTATGTCTTTAAGAACAGTATACTCTGACCCTGTTGTTTATTATTGTTTATGGAATGTCAAACAAATTCTGGTGCACCCCCCTTCCCCAGATAGAAGAGAGAGTTAAAAAAAAATAAAAATGTTTTTTACATGATACTGGAATTTTACTCTCTTTATAAAAATTTTTTAAAAAAGGGTATATCTCGCTCGTGTTTCCTTCCCTGCGGTTTATATCCGCGGTCTTTACTACGTAGTTGCTCACGTGCGGTGTTTCGGTCCCATCACGGGGTCTGACCTGGGTTGGGTTTAACTTCGGGTTTTGTTTCTCTGCTTGGCTGGGCCACGTCGGCCCGCCATATGGGTGTTGCGTTATTTTCCTGAAGGAGCGTTATGTTTTTGTTACCGGGCACGCGTTCTGGCCCTTATGAGCCCCGTGGGCTATACACACGCATGTGTTTTCTGTCCATATTTTTCCTTGTATACTCTATACGGCCTGGACTCTGATGACTAACTCTGCCCTCCAGTTACGGTTGGCCCTACGTTTTCTTCCTCGTACCCCGCCCTCTCTTTCACACAGTACATCCCCTCTCTCTCTCATTACCCTCCCCTCTTAGGTAGCTGTTGCTGGCTGTCAGGGTACTAGGTGTCCAATAGTGGTAATTTCCCCCTGGCTTCTTTGCCTTAGGTTAGTGGTCCCGCGAGGCCAACACCCATCCTCAAACTCGGAGGTACTACGCCCCTCTGGCCAAATCATAGTTAGTCGCCTCGCATTGTGGCATAGGGAGGGCCTCACCTGTCACTCCCATTCTATCTTATGTTTAACTGTCACCGAGAGGCCGACACCCCGCCACAACGTTTCAGTGGCCACGATATCCCCTCGCGCCAACGCATAGATAGAGCCTCTCACGCCGCTTGGCATCTAGCAGGGCCTCACCTGTCACCAAACCTAGTTTTTAATTGTTTCGCCTTTTTGGATTAGCTAGAATGCCAGCACTCCCGCACACAATCACACACATACACGCTCGCACTGGGTCTCGTGATCCCCGTGGTGTTTACACCACCGCGGTTTCTGTTGCCTACTGCCAAGCTCGCTCCTTTTCGGCCTGTCCGCCTGGACTCTGACGTGCTTACTCACCTTTCGGTTCTGGTCGACCCTGCGGTATTTCCTCGTTCACCCTCACATTTTCGATACACGTTCAGCACATCCGTCCTCTCTCACACTACTACCTTCCCTCCCCTCTTAGTTAGCTGTGGCTGGCTGTCAGGGTCCTAGGTTCCACTAGTTTGTAATTCCCCCACGGCTGCTTCGCCTTAGGTTAGTGGTCCCGCGAGGCCAACACCCATCCTCATACTCGGAGGTACTACGCCCCCTCGGGCCAAATCATAGTTAGTCGCCTCGCATTTTGGCATAGGGAGGGCCTCACCTGTCACTCCCATTTTGTCTTATGTTACCTGTCATCGAGAGGCCAACACCCCGCCACAACGTTCAGTGGCCACGTTATCACCTTGCGCCAACTCGTAGATAGAGCCTCTCACGCCACTTGGCATCTAGCAGGGCCTCACCGGTCACCAAACCTAGTTTTAATTGCTTCGCCTTTGGTATTAGCTAGTATGCCAGCACACATACACATACCCACACACACACACTTTGGGTCGCTTCTGCGGTGCCTGTTCGTTGTCTTCGCTGCTGTCGTCTATGGGGCGGGTCGGTTGGCAATTTGGGGTAACTGGCATCTGCCACTTTGGCTGGTTCTGATCCAGGCTCCCCGCACCTTTCGGGGGCCCGACCATGGGCTGCCAGCCTGGTTAGCTCGTCTTTTTCGCGTCTGGCTCTTTTTCCAATGCTCGTGGTTTCGTGTGTTCGGGCCTTCTTCCCCTGTGGGGCTCCTTCTTCACGTATACCAATGCTGTTTCTGTAGCTCTGTTGTCTGCATTTTGGTTTTGCTTCTTTTGCCACCTCTAACTTGCATCAACTCTACCTATCCGGTCCACAACTCCACATGTTGTACAGGTTTACCATTTCATACGCAGTTTCATGTCCTCATTCCAGACTATTAGCATACTCAAGGCGTTTCAGGTTCCGGAGAATTTCAAATTTACAGTTTTCACATCATCATCCAAGTATCTCACTATCAGACTTATTAAATGCCTGCCACTACGAACCGGGCATCGACCTTCAATGTAGGACAGTAACTGCTTGATCCAAGGAAAATCTGACTGCCATTATGGGGTCAAGAAGGAATTTTTTCCCAGCTTGTTGCAAATTGGCAGTGCTTCAATCTGGGTTTTTCGCCTTCTTTTGGATCAACCGTTTTAAACACAAATGTGAGGAAGGCTATACTTGATGGACACTGGCCACTTTAACTTTGTAATCTAGTTGTTGAGCCACTATTCTTGCTTCCACAGTTTCTTGGGTCTCACATACTTTCCCACACCCACCACGTCCTTCTTGCAGCATTATCTTAGGAAGTCTCTCCTATTCATGCAGTCTACTGATTACCTTCTCTACCCCACATTCAGTCTACCCTAGGGGGCCTTTGCACAATTACGAGCGCCGGCTAAAATGCTGGGCAACTATTTCCTCGCTTGGCATTTATCATACAGCTAGACAATTAGGTTTTGTTGATTGTTTTCGTTTCTGACAGGAACACAATTTTTGCCCTCTTTTATTACAGGCCTACCACGACGTCGGTTCCGGCACACCTCAACCGACTTATTTCCCTTCTACTTCCTATACGGCCTTTTTTGCCCCTCACACAAATGTTAAGGCTTGGCCTGCAGTTGTGGGAGGGGCATGGTACCTATTTAAACCCCCCTACTCACCTTCCTCCGTCCCGTACGTTTTTTAGCGACACGCATGTCCCCACCCTCCACGCCCTCTATCTATACTTTCATTACACCTCATGGGTGGGCCCTCTTTTATTACAGGCCTACCACGACGTCGGTTCCGGCACACCTTAACCGACTTATTTCCCTTCTACTTCCTATATGGCCTTATTTGCCCCTCACACAACTAGGTAATTGCAAAATACTAACTAGTCTCTTCAGGTAACGTGATCCTTTACCAGACAAAGGCAGGACTTAATAAGTGAATGTTTATTATGAGTAAAACATAGTCACAGTGCATATAACAATATATGATAAACAAATTATTTACACCAACAACAGATAAAACAAAAAGGATAAAATACAGAAGTCCCAATTACTCACTTAGGTTTTCAAAGTAAAACTTCTGCCCAGGGGGTCTCTGGCAAGGAAGGATGGTGACTCACTCAAAATTAGATCTTGGACCCAAGCAAGTACACCAACACCCCTCCAAATCATTGGATATATACCCTGTGGATTATCAAGTCTTGCACAGGGAGGGAGTTAAGGCGTACCTACAGAAATAAGTGACCACCTCCTTTGTTCCAGACCAACGTATATCTAAATGGACACATTTGGCTCTATCTTCTCTTATGTTGCCACAGAAATAATAATTGTATTTACAAATTTGTTATTATTTTCCCATTCCCTAGACATGTTGCATGCCCCACCCGCGATCCATTAGGATGGACATCACAATTCCATCCCCTATGGTCAAGTCAGACCACTCAATTTTTAGGTCAAAATAGCCGAACTAGAAAAACTCTCAATCAGCTAAGCTTTGCTCTCAGTCTCTTACCTTGGAAACTCACTATGAATGCTCACTTTAGTAAATAACAGTGACAATCTGACAATGCTTGCTGGCCTGTAGTTGTTAAGATGAATTGGCTCTTTTGAAGGACTGCTATAGTGGCAGGAAAACAAACTTGTTTTCCTGGCACTATAGTGTTAATAGGTCCCCTCCCCCCCCACCCTCATGGCCCCCCTCCCGCCGGGCTGAAGGGGGAGGAAGGGGTTAAAATCTTACCTTTCTCCAGCGCTGGGCTCCTTCAGTGCTGGGGACTCTCCTCTTCCTTCCGACGTCATCGGCTGAATGAGAATGCGCGGCAAGTGCCGCGCGCGCGTTCAGTCCATAGGAAAGCATTCACAATGCTTTCCTATGGATGGCAGCGTTTTCGCACTGTGAAAATCACAATGAGAAGCGCGGAAGCGCCTCTAGCAGCTGTCAATGAGACAGCCACTAGAGGCTGGATTAACCCAGTTTCTTTGAAACTGCTATGTTTACAGCAGGCAGGGTTAATCCTAGCTGGACCTGGCACTCAGACCACTTAATTTAGCTGAAGTGGTCTGGGTGCCTATAGTGGTCCTTTAATACAGACAAAACCGCCAGAAGTAAATTGTTACCATTTCCTGATCACCTTCTCGCCACTTCCCAGTTCGTTAAACATATTAGGATATTACTAGATAATAAGGGCTTGTACCCATTGCAGGGGCATTCATTTAGAATCAGTGCAGCTTCCTGGAGTCCTAGACAATAGGTTCTGCTACATAATAAGAAAATTAGGGAGTTGGAGTTCTCACTGTTACGATGGGTACATCTCGTTCTCAGAGTTCTCATATTCCCAAACAACTTTACCCCCATTACATTTCTTCACTAACTCATAGGTAACTCATAGGTACATCCCTTCTTGGCCAATCCACTCTTCCGGTGCCTGTACCCATAATGCTAACTCATGCTTACATGACTTCTCACTGGTAGCTTCACTCATATGGAACAGCTGCCTTCTCTCGTTAGAGTCTGCCCTAGACAGCAATCCTCT